TTATAAGAAGTTGGCAAAGCGGTTTTTCCAGGAGAGGATGGCTCTTTTGATAACTAATACAACTAATGCTGTAAAATTTTATAGCATTGTATCTATTACCTATACAAAGCAATAAATCAATTTATCACCAAAGTGACACGCCTCTCATCCTTATGACCCTTCAGTCATATTTAATTAATGACCCTGAGTTCTAAGAACTTTTCTTGTGTCTATTTCTCCCAGTGGAGAGTAAAACACTTTGAGTTCGAAGCCATGTGTGACTTGTCTACTCTCCTGTGAAGATACAAGATAGAAGGCAAGTTCTAGACTCAAACTCTCTGGACTCAAATCCCTGGCCCAGTGCTTATGAGCAATGTGACCCCAGGAAAAGAACTAAATCTCTCACTGCTTCAACATTCAATCTGTGAAATGGGAACAAAGACATAACCCACTTTATAGAATTTTTATAAGGACTAAGTAAAATTAGTCCTAGGACAGATGCTTCATATATGAAAAGTTCTAAATAACTCTTAGCCATTGGCGACACCATTGCGTTCAGGTTAAATCTGTGTTCATGGTATGGGTAGATGCATGCTACCCTGTGGTCTATGCTAACAAAGTTGCCTTTTTTTCTTAGCTCAGAGATGGTGTTGGGTGGTACAGGTTGTACAGCAACCTCAACACTCTGAGATGGTAAAGTAAATGGCCATTTCAGCAGAAACCGGGAGACATGCATTTGTGCCAACCTTAAAAACAGTTTTGTTTATCTCAAGGATCCAGAGAGCTTCGGGGATGTAGTGGGAATCTCAAAGGGAGGCTTGGTTTCCAGACTGTCTGATGGAGACACCGGGCTTTATCTGATCAGAAAATGCCACTCACAGCACCAGCAACCCATGCACAGTATCAAGGGAGTTTTCGTAACCATTCTTCTGGATCGTGTTTCCTTCCGTTGACTTCTCCTCTGAAGACAATAACATTTGGTGTGCTGAAGATCTAATTGTTTTTGAAGCACAGCCTGTTGGAGAAAATGTCAGATCAGCGTTTGACAATCCCCCCTTTTCCAAACGACCTTGGCGAAGTCCTTTCAGACTGTGTGTTCACCCATCTGTCACACCGTGATAAGGAAACAGACAGAACCTCTTTCCCTTCAGGGGCATATTGTGAGGTTAATACTAGGTTCCTGAGGAACTACCTAGATAGAATGCTACGGAAATACAGGGATGAGTCTGCAAACACCTGCAGAGACCCTCTGTACACCAAAGTACACCTTGGGCCTTGTACTTTATTTTAGGGACTTACAAGTACATGAGATTTGTTTGAAAGAAGTTCTACAAGGGCATCTAAGTCATGAGGTAAATATTTACAGAGTGTCTATGCTTCAGGCACGGTTTTCTTGCTTTGTATATATTGACCCAAATCCACACAAAGTTGTTGTTTTGGCTTCCCAAATCCCTTGGATGTTCTTGAATATTTGGGTGCTGTTGAGAATAAATAGAAGAAACTCCTAGCTACTTCTTTCAAAGATTTAAGTTTCAACATAACAAAAACTTTATCTGTGACTGATATGCCAATGAAAGGAGGAACTGTGGTTTCCCCTTAGCGTGGTATATGGTTACGGTCCATTTGGATGCGGCAAATTAACCTGTAATGAGAATGGCGAGTCTCCCCCTTATATACTGTATCAGAACAGCAAATCTCTCTCCTTTCTCACATGATGAGATTAAGTAAGGCATGGGAATACCTTCTCCCTTTCCTGCTTCCCTCCCTCCTTTATCTCTCCATCATGATAACTCATCAAGAGGCCTTACTTATTTGAATGTAAAAAGCTAGAATTTGGGATGTCTGGGGACTCTCCTCTATAAATCCCAGGATTCTTAAACCTCAGAGCATCATAGGTGTCTAGGAACATCTAGTGCCAACCTCTTCATGGAACAAGTGAAACAGAAGTCCAAAGACTGTAGCACCTGGCCCAAGGAGTCAGAGATGATAAAACTGGGACTGGAAACCAAGCCTCCCGCCTCTATACAGTGGTCCACACTATGGTGCATGAGTCATCTGGCAGAGTTCTGTATCTGTGGAGAAGGAAGCAGTGGGTGCTGTTGTGGCCCTATGAATACAGTTCCAACACAGCCTTCTATTACGTACAGCTCAGAGCCCCCATCTGGGGTTTCCAGAGGATGAGTTTTTAAGTATGCAAAGCCAATCTTCCCTATCCTAGGCAGTCAGGACTCTGAGTTACTACCATCAGACACTGGTTCTGCCTGCTTGGGCAGCAAAAAAAACTTACTGGAAACAGTTAAAAGCCTGGTAGTCGGGCTTGAGAAGCAGCTTAAAAGATGCACAGAGACAGGGGAACCTGGAGGGAGAGGAAAGAGGGCTGAAATCCCATGCAATGCCATGCCACAAAAAGGGCCTGTTAAGACCCTGTGTCACTCCACAACTCCCCAGGTCACGGTTCCACACACACCACAAGGGTGTCAACATCTAAACTTCAGACAGTGTTGCTGGCTTCAAATCCACAACCTCAAGTAAGAGAATGAGAATGGCCAACCAAGGCCACCTGCCCACACTCTGGCTGCCAAGGTTCAGAAGTGCAAACATCAACACTCCGCAATATCAGCTTCTTCCAAAATAAGGTAATAACAAATCTGGACAGTCTTAAATAGCAAAAACAATAATAATGAAAACGAATATCCCCTGTCCTTTAAAACATACTACCAGTCTCTAGTTGGATTTGGAGAAGCTGGACAGTGTGGAGGTGCCCTGGATGTGCACCCGAACTCAGTTGAGGAAATTCAGGGAGGAGTTCACTGTGAACCCCATGTTGCCCTGGAAAGAACTCTGTTCTATTTTCAGACCCGCGGAGTCTGGTTCAGAAGTTTATAGCTCCTTCTGGGCTTCATTTGCATGATCAGCAATCTGCTAATACCAGTCTCTACCCACTGGACACACAGCCAAGGATACAGGGCTGGGAAGCCACTCTGTTCACTGAATCCAAGACTTATGTCTCATAAGACCTGATGCTGTTCATTCCCAACAGTGTCGAAGGTCCTCTGAAAACAGGCATTATAAACACAGTCACCAGGAGGTTAAGTTACAGGATAGAAGCTGCTTTTCTATTATTTGAAACCAGCATCTAAATCTCTGAGATTTCTTTCTGCTTAATAGGTATCAAGTCCTTAGACACTCGACAAGACTAGTGAGGTTTCCTGGGATGGGACCTAGAAAGCTCCAGGTAAGCACTGTACTGACGGGTGACAATCCTGGAGCCCATGGGAGCTTTGAGGACTCAGGATTCTTGGGCTGCCCAGAAGAGCAATAGAGGATGCTGTTGATCACCGACCTCTATGCTGAGCCCACCTTTTAAGTCAGCAAGGCAATATCTCTCAGGAAGCAGAAGGAAGCTACACTTTCCTCTTGCAGCCTAGAGGAGGGAGAGGTTTCCCTTGTTCGTTGGTACAGTCAAGCTTTTGCCTAGATCCCCAAGATACAGGGCTTATTTTTCTTCCTTTCCATTATCCTCTCTTTATGTTTCCAGTCCTTTCTCAGCCCCTTTTCCTTTCTTTCCTTTTATTCCTTCCTCCCTCCCTCCCCACCCTTTCTCATCCTCCCTCCCTCTCCTCTCTCTTCTGCCCTCACTTTCTCTTCCTTCCTTTGTCTCTCTTGCCACACACATTGACTGAGTGTCTGTGATGAAACTTACACATACGGGCTTTTTTCCCCCCATCTTCTGAGCAATCCTATGAGACTTGTGGTTTCACTTCTATAGTTGGGGGAACCAAAGCTCAATAGAGAGTAAGTCAGAAATAGTTTCAAGTACTTATATAGTTTTCAGGTAAGGAGAGAAAACATCTTTGCTTAATGATACTACAACCTTTCTAACTCTGAGATATGTTTTAGCACACCCAAGGGAGATTTCATGATGGACAAAAAGTATCCATGTGTGAACTATGGTCTGTCCCTAAAGAGAATTCTGATCTTGCTCATTTTCTGCATCCTCATCTTTCCTCTGCAGTAAACAGAGAAAGTATGTATGTATGGATTATGTATGTGGTATATATATGTACACACTCACACATATACTTTTAGCCTTGCCTCGCCCTGGAGGTAATAAGGGCAGAATTCTGGGAAAATCTGGATGGCAACTCATTACCCCATGAGGCTTATTTAAAGTATCCATGTATTAGCAGTTTCACTTTTAGAATGCAGTTGCTTCCAGTCATAGGAGGGAACTCACCAGGGAAGCTGCCATAGAGACTTGCATCCCGCCAGCCCCTACCACCTCCCAAGGCCAGAATAGGGACCAAAGCTCCCAAAGCTAGCCAGGAGCCCTCATTTGACTGAACTCTTGGAAAAGCCGCCTACTGTGACCCTAGCAGATGGCGCTATCCCTAGCAATTTGTTTCCCCAATGCGTAGGGGTTTTCTTTTCCTTAGAGTCTATGAGTTTGAAACTGTAACTCTGATTTCGTGTTGTAAAGCGCCGTTGGTGTGACTTCCTCAGCTGAGAGAGAAGATCTCTTTAGATGGTATCACCACAGGCAGGCTGCCGCGTTTCGGTCCCACTGCAGCGTATAGGGTGACTTGTGAGAGGCCTCCAGTCCTGATCGATGTAGATGTATCCAATTGGACTTTGGGAAATCTATTCGGTTGTGTGGTGTATGTGTGCGCGTGTTTGGGGAGGGCTGGTCACGTGGCCGCCAGGCTCTCCAATCTGGATACCAATAAAGCAGACACCGGCCAAGAGGGAAAAATCAATGAGCAAAGCGGCCGGCCACTTTGCCCCGGCCTCGCGGAGCACTGCAGAGTCTGAGGCTCCGGAAGGGCGAGCAGAGTGCCCGGGAAGAAAAGGAGAGCGGCGGGCACCGTTAGCTTCTGCTTCGCCACTGGGGGCCGCAGTCACCTTCAGCATCAGGAACTAGGGAGAAACGAACCCCGAGGGTGGATCTGGCCGCTAGGCTCCCTCAAGCTTCAGTTTCTGCTTGCTTTTGCCCCGGCGCAGCAGGCACGACCCTGGGAAGAGCAGGGGCCTTCTCAGGGTTCTGAGGGTGCAGGCACCCACTCTCTAGGCGACTGCAGCCTCTGGCAGGGCACGCCCTCGGTGGTATTGCCGCGCCCCTCCCAGGTCCGCCCCTCCCGCCCCAGGGAGCGCGCACCCGCTGCTGGAGAGTCCTGCCCGCCTCACCTTCCCAGGCGGGAGAAGATGGAGAAGACAAACTGGGTCTCCGGCCATCGGATTCCCGGCCCGAACTGCCCACGGTATCCATGCCCGTGAAGTGGTGGCACTGACCAAGCCTCAGAAACCGAGATTGGGGCAGATCGGAACGCAGAGGCCGCATCCTCCAACCACTGAGAGTCCCAGCATCATGCATGAGGGTACTGCCTGCCGGCTGCCCAGGGAAGTCCGGGCGCGACCTTAGCCTGGGCTTCAGATCCCAACCCCGCGCTCTAAGGGCTGAAGTCGCCCTATGCCAGGGGTGTCGCCCCAAGTGCAGAGATTGGGCTGCTCTGGAGCCTAGGGCTCTTTTGGTTAGGGAACCTTCGAGAAGCACGCGTTGGAAGCTGTGTGGACCACCACCTTAGGGAGCCACGGAAGACGTGCGGAGGGCCAGGAGCCCAGGGCCCGAACAGCTTCAGAGGTAACTTCGGAGAGCGGGAGCCCGAGACCGGTGGGGACCTGAGCGCACGTGTGTGCAAGTGTGTGTATGTGTGTGTGTGTGTGTACAAGGTGTAATCACTGTGTGCCGGCTGCTAGATTCACAGGAGCGCTGTGTAAAGTCCTGAGCTGCTGGCGCTTTTCCCAGGCTCCACTGGGTTCCCGACTGCGAGCCACCTGGGAGCGGGGGTGGGGAGGGGTGGGCTTTTCGCTGATCTAGGTACTCTAGTGGGAAAGGGGTGTGCGTGTGCGCGCGCATGTGGTGTGTATGTGTACGCGTGAGTGCGTGGTATGCATGTGTGTGCGTGCGTGTGGTAGGCGCTAGGCTTGGCCATATCTGGTGGAGGGAAAAGAAGGAAGAGACACAAGGCCAAAGGCTATGTAGTTTTGGGCAAGTTTTCCTGGTTGAGAATTTGTTTCCTGATAAAGAATTCGTTTCAGACAATGGTGCTTTGGGGGTTAAGTAGGTGAGCTGTCTGTGAAAAACCCCGACATATGAGAGGTGCAGAGTAAGGAAGAAAACTGAACAAATCCTAGAAAAACCGACCCGTGCATCCCATTCTTAAATTGAGATTTCCAGTCACGTTGATAGGGAAAAGGGGCTTCTTTCCTTCCGGAGATGGTCAGCTTCACCTGCCAGAAAGCACGAACGCCAGGCCTGGCCGGCAGCAGGGCTTCAGTTCATTCACACACTAGCTCACCGCTCTGCAGCCTTTCCCACCTGCTCTGTCGCCATCCCTGCCAAGTCCAGTACTCTCTGGGGCCACCGAACCAGTAAAGTAATCATTGGTCCTCTCTGCAGGAGGGCAGGGGGAAGGTATTTGAGTAGCTTGCTCAAACAGCGTTCAAGACAGCATTGTTTGTGTGAAGTAGTGGCTGTATTCAAAGGTTGTACGCAAGGCGGCGAGGTGGAGGGGGGTTGTGGTCGGATTGTCTTTTCAGTGGGAATTAAGTAAATGTTTGCCAAGATCCAAAGGAGGAGAGATGTCATCTGTGCTATTAACGACACAGGTCTGTTTTGTAGAACTTACATTTTCTTTTGTGCATGGGGTGATTTAGTTGGGAACTAGTGGGACCATGGCAGCTGCCCTTTTGACCACGATTGGGGGTTTGACTATTTGGCTCTACTATGATGTTATGCAGCATGACCCAAAAGAATTTCCAGGAGTAGTCGAGAGGCAGTGCACTTGACTGGTCTGCCTCACCATCTCCCTGCAAACAAGCTTCCATTACCACTTCTCCTGATGAAGTCTTCCTGCAGGTAGAAGCTAGCCACTTGCTCTGGGTATAGGACCCTTCTGAGATGAGTTCCAAGCTCATTGACAACCTGGGGAGGGGGCCCTTTCAGAGACTGCTCAAAACAGAGTAGTGGGACAGAGTTGGGTGACTCATGTCCAACCCCTTTGAATAAGCTTTCCTTTTGTGTGTCAGAGGATAAGGTGGAATGGGAAAAGCTGGCATGTCTGCGAATCAGCCAGTTTAGAGATTTTCTTAGGTACTGGAGCCTGCAGGGAAAGCCTTAAATGTCTGGCTCGGGAAAGCCTGGTTCTTATTGTATGGGTTAGTGATTTGTATAGATCTGCAACTATGTAAAAATAAATGTCACTTGCCAGGGAAAGAGCAGCTCAAACAGTTCATTTGCATTTCTGCCGAATTTGGTGTGTGAAAGTGTTGCATAGCACTTAATAGTTGGAAGAGAGACAAAGGTTTCATTGTCAGTGCTGTGGTCCTTTGGAATTTTGGATATATAATGTCGTTATTTTCTTGGCCAATACTAGAGGCAAAAATTAATATGTCTTTCCAATATCTAAAATGGCTAATGTTCCCTTTAAATGTTTGTGCCTTTGGCAAGTTGTCTGTTCTGTCTTTGTCCATAGCACACAGAGTGAGTACGAGATTCTTTCTCTTCTTTGCTGTTTTCTCAAGCAAGCTCTTTGGAAACCTTGGACAACAGGATGCAGAAAGCAGGCCTGTGACCATGGCCTGTGCCTGGGGGTGGGGGATGTGGGATGGGAAGGCCAGGAGCAGGAAGGGGAAGGCCCTGCTTGCTGCACCAGTCAAGTGGCAATGCATGCCTTCTCAGTCTAGCTGGGAAAAGGTTCCAGATTCCTCCGTGAATATGGTGCTAATGCTCCCTGATTAGCTTTTCCCGCTGACATTCAAATGTTTGTTTTTGGAGCTTACCCTGCAGGCTCAGTGTAAATGAAAAGGAACAGAAAAAAAGAGGGATATTGAATGTAAGGCAAGCAGAGACAGCTGTATGCTTTTAATTCATTGTTTGATCTTGGTTAATGCTTAACTTTTTGCATGCTTTTGGGCATTTATATATATAATATGTGTATATAGATAGAGTACCAAACCAGATTCTTGAACCATGTCCTTTTTTTTTTTTATCTTTCTTAGAATAGAACCCTTTATGTTAAGCTTACAAAACATTTAAGTGGATGAAACTGATTAAAAATCGGGGGAGGGCCATGGAAGCCTATTCATTCTCAGTGTGGTGTCTGGCTCCCTCTGGAGCACTGAAGGGCTCCTTGGAACTGGAAGGCTTCTCTCAGGAATGTGGCACACCATCTCCTTTGAGCTTTCCAAATGGAATGTTGTGGTCTTCAGTTCAGTGTTGTCAGTGTGCAGTGTACCTTTCGCCTGCCCCGAGTCCTTAACCCAACGACAAGCACATACCTCGATGTGGTATTCATTCTCCACCCCTGGCTCCTGTGAAATCCTTTCTCATTAAGTATTATGGGAGTGGGATGAATTCATAGGATGAATGGGCCATGCAATATAGCTATGGCAGACTGATATAATTTTTTTATTCTTTATTCAAGTTAGAGAATGACCTTCAGAACAGACTGTGGGTTGCATGTGTGTGTGTGTGTGTGTGTGATTTGACACCATCATTCCAGCATGATTTATTGAACATGACCACTGTGTGGTTTTTCTGGTACCCTGAGTATTATTCCATGGCCTCTATTATGAGAGAGCATGGCAGACTTTTCTATAGTCCTGGCAAGGCTTGCCAGTGAGTGATGCACTGCGCTCTGACTTGAGAGTCTTCCTCAGTGATGCCCCCTGTGTCCTTGCTCTCTGTAATTTACTCATGTTTGGTAACTTCAACCCCTGTGGTATGATGGTCACAATGCAGCATCTGAGATAACTCTGAGACTTCCAAAAAAGAACCATTTCAAGTAGTATGCTAACCATTCAGCTTTCTGGGTATCTGAGGAACCCTACAACAAGTAGCAGGGGAAAGAAACCAACATTAAAGGTCGACAAACTTAGAGGGACTGGAGAACTTCAGAATGTCATGGAAGCTTATGTGACCAGTAACATGAGAGGCCACCATCAGAAATGAGGGAAAGGTTGTTGGAGGATTCGTCAGAGCTGTAGAAACTGAACTCTTTTGACTATGTGTGTGGGGAAGTGTGGATCGGTAGGAGGGGTAGAGGAGTACCCCATGCATGTGTGAGCAGTGTGGGTCCAGAGTATGGGTAGGTAATGCCTAGGGGATGGGTAGACAGTGGGTCTGAGGGGATGGGTAGATGGTGTGTGGGTTGTTGGTAGGCAGTGAATGTGGAGGGTTGGGAGAAGTGTAGGGTATAGAATATGGGGAGGTTAGATGTGTAGGATGTGGGTAGGTAGTATTTGTTGTGTTTGTGTAGGTAGTATGCATGAATTGTGGGATGTGTGTAGGTAGTGTGGGTGTGAAGTGTGGGTAAGTGGTATGTGTTCGTATGGTAAGTGGTATGTGGTGGGTATGGGTAGGTGATGTGTATGAGGTGTGGGTAGATGGTTTGGGGCTGGTACTGTGTGTTGGATATGGGCGGTTGGGGCTTTGGGTAGTAGTATATGTGCAGTGTGGGGCTATGGCTGGTGACTAAGTCTTCAACACAAGGTTATGTGGGGAAACCTACCTGAATTATATCAGGAGGCAAACACCTCACTTGGTGCTTTTCCACTTCAGAATGAAAATATTTTTAGGCTCCTTATGTTTATTAATAATAAAATGATCAAACTAATTGCTGCTCTTTTCTGCTTCATTTGTTATGATAACATATGTTCTCCCTTTGCCTTCCTTCCTTTGTAAACCGGCCATTTTTGTTTTGGGTTATTTATTCCTTATTAATTTTTAAGAGCTCTCAATAAGATACAAGAAGCTTCTGCTCCCTGCCTTTTCCAAATTTTATAATGTCTAGAGACATGGTGACCAAGCACTTTTCATTTATCTGAATAAATCTGCCCTTTTCTCACTGATTTGAGAATTTGGGATCTTGTAGAATATTCTTCCAGAATCCCACATTACCTAACCCTTGACTCAGACTTTTGTAGTTTTGTTTCAGTTTGATGTGCAGACCATGAGTAAAGGTGAACTCATTTGTTTAACCGATAGTTTACTGACTATCCCAGTAATACTTAGCCGATTTATTTCTATTGAACAAACCACGGTCTTGTAATTGCCTTGAAATGCTGCCTCTGTCACATGCTGTATCCTGACCTATGCCTCCATCTGCTTCTTGTCATCCTGTTCCACTGATTTATTGAAGTTTTAATATATAGCCACCCAAACTGTTTTTTACTTTGACCAGAATTCTTCTGTATTTATAGTTTACTTTTATTTATTTGTCTGTTTGTGTCTGTGTGAATGGATGCCGCACACTCCAGGAGTCCAGAAGAGGATGTGACAGCATCTGGACCTGGGATTAAAGACAGACATGAGTCCTCAACGTGGGTGCTGGGAAAGGAATTGGGTCCTCCTCTTAGCCAGTGAGCTTCCTCTCCAGCTCTACTGACCAGGATTCTGTTAATTAATAAATTAATTAGCTAGTTATTTTTAAAATGATATTTTCTCATTTTCCATACCTATCCCAGTTCTCACCTTGTCCCTTCCTCCTGCTTCCCCTACCTTCCTCTCACTCCCCTCCCATCCACTCCTCAGAGAAAGTAAGGCTTCCCATGGGGAGTCAGTAATGTCTGACACATCAC